GCCTGAAAAAAAAAAAGAAAAAAAAAAGATAAAGGATGTGTTTGGTAAGCATATAAGCTAACTTATAGATTCAAATAAATCTCGTTTGGTAGGACGAGCTTTTTTAAGTCGAACTTATCTCATAAGCTTATTTAGGTAGCTTTTCACATAAGTTTTTTTTTAGCTAACTTATTAACTAATTTTATTAAACACTTTTATTATATAAGCTAGCTTTTCAGCTATGAATCATAAGATATAAGCTAAAAAATTACATATAAGTTATAAACAAGCAGCTAGCTTATCAGCTAGGATATCCTTTAGTTTGGTTATGATATATCCGACCAAGGAGGTGGTATACACTATTACAAATTTATTCTAAATTTCTCTAATTACTATAATACCCCTCTCTGGAACCCAAGGCGCCAAGGAGGTGGTTTACCTCGTCTCGAGCAAACCACATCCCAATATGATGATTCGCTTGAGGAGGTATCCCACAAATGAACGAATTTGAAAGTTTTGGAGATCTTATCATTTCGTATATTTTATTTTCTTTTAACATTATTTGGATTCATACTTTAGATAAAAGGGCGATTCCACCAAAAGAATTTCAAGGTATGTATATGAATCACAAGTTCAATTAGACCAAGTGTTGGTAAAATCATGAAAGAAAATAATGCAGTAGGGTTTTATAGTGGGAAATTATCAGAAAAAAATTGCAATTGGAATAATGGAGATGAGTTTCACTCCACATATTATTGCAGAAGGGAATTGGATGTTGATTTTCAATGTTCTGTTGTGTATATATCTTTTGATATTCTCAATCTTTCAGTGCATTTGTTCTAGACAATTAGTATTATTTTTTCAATAGTACATGTTTCCTTTGTAGGAAATATGTTAATTGAGGATAATAATCCTCGTATACGTAAATTAATTTATTATCTTTCATTATTTGTTTTCTTGGATTAATTGTGAATGTCATCATCCAACTCGGTAATCCAAAATTAGAAACTTTTAACCCGCTTAAACCGCTTATGAAGTGGATTAGCGCCGACAACGAAGCCTGGCCGACAGTCACTCCGGTCTACATACCGAACCGACAAATCCACAGAAGACCGAAGTAACCTTCCCAACCGAGGTCAACTCGAAACCGAAGTTGCCATAAATCGAGGTCATCATCTCCTAAATTGATGACGAGGCATCTACACACCAGCTTCACGAGCCACGAGGCCTTTCATCATTTAAGTGGGACCTACTAATCCTGCCGCCCACCAAAAGTAGCTTTATGGAAAAAGCAGTACACGAATCCCGATATGTATCTCAAAAAGTTACTATAAATAGCAAGCTCATGATACTTGTACGGGATTCGATTCCCGAACCAAAAAACCTTCTTTATGATGAAACACGAAACAGCTCACAGAAGCTTTTCACCTCGGTTCACCTCGGACCGGGGCCATTGTTGAATGTTTTATACATGTTTTACGTTTAAATAATTAGTGACACCCATCTTAACCAACTCCTGAATCGTTGTTTACAATCACCTAACAACAGTGAATATTGTGTTGATTATAGTTTTCATGTAATCTTGATTTGTATGTGTTTTTTTAGCCTTTTGTATTTCTCTATAAAATATAAGTAATAGAACAACACAAGAAAAGTTGTCAATTCAACAACACCAAACAAGAGCGTGTTCTTTTGTGTCTGCGTGAGTTTTCTTCTATGTCTGGTGTTTTGGCTGTGATCTCACCGGAAACCGGGTGTTGTCTCTCCGACGAGTTTCTAACAACTGGCATCAAAGCTACTCTTGCCTGGGACCGTGAGTGGGAAGAATAACGTCGAAGGCTCCTCAAAGGACGACATTGTGATCCACAAGTGATCCGTGAGGTGAGCAACGGAAGTAGCTATCATGTTCTTACCAAGAATAATTACTCCGACTAGGCGCTACTGATGAAGGTCAAATTGAAAGTCAGGGCTCTCTGGGGCGTGATCGCGGACGGCTGTACAAACCCACAAGAGGAGATGATGGCGCTTGACGCCTTTTACAACATGGTACCGGAGATGGTGAATATTCATCCATGATTCATCCAAATAGAGAGTACTCACACCATTTCAGATCTTCTTATATTAGATTAGCTAAATTATGATTAGAAGGCCTTTGTTATCTAGCATGAAGAACTCTTTATAAAATGAACGACGAACAGAAAGGATTTTATTAAAAAATCATGCCCGATGCTGATTCACGTATCGGTAGTGTGTATTTATTTAATACAGTTATGATGGAACATGGAAGACGTACTTGTGGAGGATTTTGTCCGCATGGTTACGAAAAAAGGGTAAAATTGTTATATCTGTGGCATTGAGCATAATAACATCACTTCTTTTGCCCGGTGGAAGAATTGCACATTCTCAATTTCACATATAGTTGAATCTTCATACAAATTGATCATGCGGAATCAACCAGACAAATTCTCTTGCGGATTGATAATGCGTTTCTCTCTCATCATATTGGACAAGGCGTCGATAATGCACAAATATTGCTTCATTGCAGGTTGTCAAGGGAGCAAATGACCCGTCTAACAATAACAAGTCGTTCGGATGAAAGTCTGTTGTGTTTGGTGGAGATTACAACAGATCCTCCCATTCATTCCAAAGGGGATTCATCACGATATTGTGAATGCAACTACAAATGCTTCCAACATTTGAAGGGATTTTAATTTGCAGTGTCTTACAAAAAACATGTTTTTAGAGCCTTTTTATTCAAATGAACCTGACGAGCTATTCGCGTTTGCTGATTGAATTGCGAGCATTGAAGATGGGACTATAGGAGGCTCAAATGACTTTGCATCTCAAGATCATATGATATAACACAAGATCTCTCTAATGATCCAATTTGTACAATTATCCAAAGTATCTATTCATTTGTTTAAGAATGCAATTAATGAACCAAGTTATTTGAAGTATAATCTATACTATTGCTGACGTTGGAGGTCATTGAATCTATCAATCAATACATGTCGGAAATGAATTCGGCTGAAGGTCGAACATATTTTAGCTCTGACAATACGTGTAAGTCTGATTCGAATAAAGACATCTTAGTAGATCTCAACACACCGAAGTTCTTAAATAGCATCAAGTGTTCGAGAACACCAAACCATAAGTTGCCTTTGAAGATAGGAAATTTGGTCACGTACGAAACGTGGACCATTCTGTAGGACTATATAATGGGATACACTTAGTTGTGACCAAACTCTCCACTCATGTTCTCGAATGCAAGATATTGACATGAGATCACACATGTGATATTGTGTTGATTCCTCGAATGAGTATAACTCATTTCGATGTTAGAATTCTATTTAAGTTCCAGCGGCCACAGTTCTTTCTTATGGTTTCAGACTATAAACAAGAGTTAGATTCAGTCTTTATCGCACATTGGCCCATTATTGAAGAAACCAATTTTTAGTCACGACCAACTATATGTTGTTGTTTCACGTGTAACTAATAGAAATATGTTGAAAATATTAGTTTGTAGGGATGACAAGTTATCCAATAATCAAACTAGTAATGTTGTGTACAAAGAGATTTCTAATTATATATGATTTTTTTCAAGACGAACATTTTATGATTGGACAACTATCATACATATGACAACTCTTTGTATGTCGAATAACTTTTAATTTATAATAAATACAGTTACTATTAGGCCAGTTAGCATCATAAGATAGTTTATAACTTATTTAGTTAACTTATTAGATATTTTATTAAACTAGCTTTCTAATAATCAACTACTAACTATTAGCTTAAAGTTAACTTGATAGTCATCGACTAGATTTTTTTTGATAGATTTATCAACCATATTCTTATTTAAAAAAAAAACATAAAATTATAAATTAACTAAATAAATTTTAAGACAAGTTAATTTACATACCAAGCTCTTAGTTTGAAACATAATTTAAACTAGTGCAATGACTCTTACACATACGAGGACAAAGTGGCTTTCCTCAAGGCCATGATAATGGAAAGACATTAAAACATGGCAAATGATCATCTTATGATGCGTTTGGTAAGCATATCAATTATCTTATAACTTATTTGATTAGTTTATAAATTTCTTGCATTTATACAAGTTTAGTTTTGTAGAACAAACTTTTGTAAAAAAAAAACTCGAGCTAATATTATAAACTTCATT